ATGCAGGGCTCGATCCTAGGACCCTGGGACCATGACCTGAGCCGAAGGCAGACGCTTAACGACTGAGCCACCCAGGCGCCCCTATGAGTGGTATTTCTTAACTGGTCTGTGTATTCTAGGCAAAAGAATCTTGACAGAAACCATCATGTAGGAGCCTTCAGGTCCAGGTACCCAACTATAAACATCCCTGGATGGCCTCTCTCTGTCCCTCAAGCTGGACAATTGTATTCACAGATGTTAAGACACAGACACCCAGAACCCACCCATAGAACCCACACACCTAAGGTCAACATTAAGCTGTGCCATTTACTATCTATGTGACTTTGAGCAAGTTACAATTTCCTCATCTTTAAAAAGGGAAAAATCATAGTTCCATCCTACAGGGTTATGCTATGAGAATTAAATGCAGTAATATGTATTGACAGGTATGATTGTTGTTGGTTTAGGTTGTAATACTCTAACAAAGGTGAACTAAGTTTGACAGAATCAATAATCCTTCTTACCAAAACAGTATTCTTGCATTGATTTAGTCAAAGATATTTTGATTCGAGGGGCGCCTGGGTGGCTCAGTCGTTAAGCGTCTGCCTTCGGCTCGGGTCGTGATCCCAGGGTCCTGGGATGGAGCCCCGCATCGGGCTCCCTGCTCCGCGGGGGACCTGCTTCTCCCTCTCCCTCTCCCCCTGCTTGTGTCCCTGCTCTCACTATCTCTCTCTGTCAAATAAAGAAATAAAATCTTTAAAAAAAAAAAATATTTTGATTTGATATAATTTGATTTGAGATAATGGAAGGTCCACATCTCCTGAAAAATAAATTCTCAGCCGTGTCCTTTTCGTAGGTAGAGGAGGCAGATGATTGGCTCAGACATGGAAACCCCTGGGAGAAGGCCCGGCCTGAGTTCATGCTGCCCGTGCACTTCTATGGAAGGGTAGAGCACACCGACACTGGGACCAGATGGACCGACACCCAGGTATTCAGAGTGTCCTCATGCTGAGTACTTTGTATACTATAGCGCAGTGAATACATAGCATAGAGGATGATGTGTATATGACATTGAGGATAGTACATTATGTATTGAATAATAGAGTATGTTTTTATCAATAAATCTTTTCCTTCTCTTAGTGAACCCACTCTTTGGAGACAAGGGAGCTGAGACCAAGAGACAAGTGACTTCCCCAAGGTCAAGTGACTTATCAGTCATTTTGCAATCAGCTTTTTCAGAGATTAATCAATTCTGTAATTCTAGTATGCTTTGCTGTCCAGTTTTGTATAAAGTTTTTGATACCAAGATTAAATAAATTTAAATGTCCTTTCTTACCACACTGCCATAGATACATTTACTTGGGACTTACCAGGGGTAAATGTTTTAAAGCTAAAGTATTTATTGAAAGGATTGCCAAAAATTGTATTCATTGCAAAGTCAAGAAAAATAATACAAAATATTGCAAACCATATTTTTATTTTGTGCAAAATCACTTCTACAGAAATCATGCTGGTGTCAATCCAAGTGGACTGGCACTAGATTTTCTGACTGAAGCAAGGACTGGAAAAATATACCCAAGCAAGGAGGGCATACATTCAAGATTTCCGAGAGTTCTCAAAAAACATACCCGCTACGCTGGGAAGATGCCAGACCTACACAAGTGAATACAAGAGCATCGGACTAACCTAGCCCTGAGAGTCGAACATGCGCAGCGGGAGATCGACTACCTGGAGTACCTGCGACTGCCACTAGATTTGAGCATTACCTTGTTGCTGACCAATTCATTTCTAAGCACCCCCAGTGATGCTTTGTGCTCTGCTGTCTTCTTACTTCCTGATTAATAACCCCTATTAATTACTAGACTGCATTGTCCAATCTTTGGAGGCTCTACTTGAGATATTTGCTTAATAAATATGATCTCAGGCTGGGAAGGATATGTCACCGGCCAGTCTTTAAAAGCTTAAAGGAAATGGTAAAGAGCAAGGTAATACTTTTAGTTGGCAAAATTGTGAGTGAAATTCAGTACTGTAATGCTAAATTCATTTGGTTTGTGGATTATTCCCCATGAATAAATGCTTTATTTTAGAAGAATCAAGACCCATTTTATAGTTGACTTTTTAAACTGATAATTTATTCTGCTAATCCATGTAGAGCTCTTCACAGTTCAGAAAAATAAGACTATTTAAAAATGATTTTTCTATCTGAAGATGAATTTATTCAACATAGGAAATAGCAGATTAGAAGCTAAAATAGGTCATGATAGTATAATAGTATAAGGAATAAACTAATACTGTAATTTCAAGATAAGTTTCTCTTTCTGTTTTTCTAAATTTGGTTAAACAATAGAACACAATCTGACTTTTCCTTCAGACACCTGTTCCCTGCTAGGGTTTCTCTCTCAGTGCCTGCACCCAAGACCACACATCTAGTTCTTACTCTCCTACTTGGCCAGACCCCTATCTGTGCTGCGTTTGTGTGGACACAGTTCTCTTACTTGCATTCAGCAGAGTCCCGACCTTCTTCTCTTCTTCCACCTCTCGGATGAGCTTTTCTGCCAGGGTCTTGTCCTCTCATTCCACGCACACTGTCAGCTTCTCGCAGGTACTCCAGGTAGTCGATCTCCCGCTGCGCATGTTCGACTCTCAGGGCTAGGTTAGTCCGATGCTCTTGTATTCACTTGTGTAGGTCTGGCATCTTCCCAGCGTAGCGGGTATGTTTTTTGAGAACTCTCGGAAATCTTGAATGTATGCCCTCCTTGCTTGGGTATATTTTTCCAGTCCTTGCTTCAGTCAGAAAATAAATGCTCAAATTATTGCACGTTATTTAAATTAGCCAAGTAATATAAATACCTATCACTCACTGAAGAAGATTTTTAGAATACAAATCATCGTAAGGGGGATAATAAAAATCACCTGTAATCCCTTAGTTCAAAGTACCACTGATTTGTTAGTGTATCAGTTTTTAAAAGTTTTCCCATGCATTTCATCATACATATATAAATATATATTTTAAAATGTGATTTTACTATACTGTTTTGTAACATTTTCACTTGCTAACACAATGTGAACAATTTCAATACTAATTAATAGATAGCTATATGATAATTTTAATGATACAGAATTCCATTGCATTGATATCCTATTATTTATTCTATTAGACTCTTTTTGATGGACATTTATGGACTTTTCAACAATGCTGAAAAAAAATCTTTGTATTAAAAAAACACAATCTGAGTTGCAGTTGGTTACAAATAACAGTTAGGAGAGCTGCAAACAAATCAATCATTAATATGCCCAAAGAATTCACATATGTATTTGGCATTAAACTAGTGAGTATTTGGTGTAGGTTTTAGTGTCTAAAACTTCCAGTGACTTCTGAGCTATTTAAATGTAGGCAGTTTACACAATCAATCCTGGAAATATTCTGTTTACACTAGGTCCAACTGTTGAGCTACCTTGTATTTACAGAGCACCCCTAAACATTTTCATAATATATCCAGAAATTCATTTAGAAACAGTATATTTTTCTGTGCCCACAAAGGCAATGTTACAGGGCAGATGGAATACAAGGTGAGCTGCCCCAAGCCGTGCAGCACTTTATGGATTTCTGGAAGCCATTGCCCAAGTCAGGCCCAGGTCTGTAGCTGGTGAGGTCAGAGAGCACGAGGACAGGCATGGTGTGCACATGCTCTGGGCAGCTTCCAATAAACCGAGCAATCCATTTCACCCATGTGTCAGCTCAGGTCCTCTGGGGAACAGACACCAGAGAGAATTAGAAGTGTAAGTGCCATAGTGGGGCAATGCCTGTGAATGACAGAAGGGAGTGGAGAGAGGAGGAGGCATGGCACCTATGAAGAGAAAGGGGGAAAGAAAGAGGATCCTCAGTAAGAGCCTCAGTGGGCCTTATAACTCAGAGCAAGCAGCCAGGCTGATGGGGCCCGAGGTTAAAGATTGCTCATGAGACAAGTCCTAGCTCTCAAGATCTCACCACAATGGAAGCATCCCTAAGAAAACAAACCTCAGCTCGGCTGGGCTCGATCTCCCAGGTGGTAAGTTGCGCCTGAAGTTCTCTAAAGAGACATCCGAGCTTTGTGCTTCCCCAGCTGCCTCAATTACACTTCAAGGGTCAGAAGGACAAATCATGTTTGAACCCAGACTCACCCCCACTCTGTAAACACCTTTTCCTGATGGATCACAACGTGCTTTAAAAATCTCCACAGAGACTTTTATTTTCTAGTAAAGGTATTTAAAGAAGGGTGATTTATTACTTCAAGGTCATGGTCTTCATGGAAGCATGACTGAGTATATATGATTGACATACAGGCTATAATGCTTCGTTCATTCATAATTCAGCAGACCACATTAAAGAGATTTGTGTAGGTTTCAACCCTACCACTGACTGTGACTGTGGGTAAGTCACTTCTCTCTCAGCCTCATTCCTTTCATGTCCAAAATGAGTGGATTGCACGAAATGATCTCTAGCATCCTCCAGTACAATCAGTCTGTCATTCCCCTTCCTTAGAGCTTGACTGATGAGGCAGGGAATAGAAGTGAGTCTTTTCCCACATAAATTTTAAATTCACATGCAACGCAGTTATCTTCCTGTTCTCTGTTTCAGTGACTGTCACAGACTGAGATTTTCCAAAGCTCACCTCTTACACCCATCTCAGCTAATTATCAGCTGATTTGTAAGCCCACTAAAATAACTCTTCTTCATGCAACTTTGAAAAATCTTGCATAGTATTTTCAATATCATCTATAATCTATCTTCATATATTTCCATTCCATTAATTTTGATCCGTATTTGAAATCAGAATCACTGAATTACCTACACTAAACTTACGCTGATTATTATTTTGTAATCCCTTGCTGTGTCCCGGCCCACTGTTCAGCCCACGTCACCACACATGGGAAACTGAGCAGCTGCTTCGGTTTAATCCCACAGGTGGTCCTGGCCCTGCCATATGACACCCCAGTGCCTGGGTATATGAATAACACCGTCAATACCATGCGCCTCTGGTCCGCGCGGGCGCCGAATGACTTTAACCTCAGAGACTGTGAGTACAGCCTGGGCTCTCATGAATGTGCATGTGTGTTTAATCTTTTTGATCTCAGAGGCAACCAGATCAGCACCAGCTCTAAAAGAGGGCACAAAACAAGGATCTTGGGGACTGGGACATGAATGGTTTCTGTGTGTGTCAGTGTGTGTGCGTGTAATCTTTCTGATCGCTAGTTAGTATCGCTAGTTGAGAGAAAAGCTTTGAGTTTCTGATCAGAGCTCTCCAGTGAGCAGCCATTGTTTGGAGCATGCGCGGAGGACATTTTAAAAGCAGTCCTGCAGTCTGGCCCTCTTAGACTCTCATGCGAATCACAGCATGGAGGGTTGTGGAAATCCTTTTGGATTTTCAGGAGTTGTAGGAATCCCTACATCCACGTGGTACACAGCAAGCATCAGGTGAGGTCAAGGGGCTTCGATAACAGTGGCTGGCTTATCTATTTATTCATTTTTCTAACCTTCCCCTCAGTTAACGTTGGAGACTACATTCAGGCTGTGCTGGACCGAAATCTGGCCGAGAACATCTCCCGGGTCCTCTATCCCAATGATAATGTGAGTGGTCGAGCTTGCTTTCTCAGTGGAAACAGAAGCAGTCTATTTCAGAAGCACTTTTCCATAGCCCATAAAGCACATCTCCAATATTGATTTTTTTTTTCTTAAATGCACTATAATCTCCATATCTCTTCCTGAATTGTCTAGATTTCCCCTGCCACCCAAGTAAGGAAAACAAATTTGTACAATACATGAAGTCAGAATTGGTATTTTGCCCTTGACTAGTGACCTCACAACCAATTAGGAGCTTATGTCTGTACATTTCAAAACAAAACCTGGATATAAAAGATGAAGTGAAGCACTGGTAAAATACTACTTCCTTTCCAAATGGAAGTTTCTTCCACAGAGGCAGAAGACCCTGGAGGTTTCCTGCCTGGCCTCTTCCCCTCGCTGACAGGCTCTTCCCAGCCTTCTACGCTCAGGCAAGGTGGGGTCTGGACCTCAGAGCACACCCAGGAGCAAACGCTTGTTTCTTATGCCACTTATTCATCTCTTGAAATTTTTTCTCATAGGTGATTATTCCCAATTTTACACTAAAAATAGCTTAGCTAAAATTAAAAAAAAAAATTTTTAACTTGGAACTGCATCACAGATGACCCCTGTGGATTCTTAGTTGGTTTAAATATACTTAGCTCTATCTTATATGTGGGTAAAATTATTTTCTTGAAGCTGTAATGATTACTCTTTTAATAATAAGTCTCAGAAACAACCAGATTGGTACTTGGCTGTTTGCTGCAGCATTTTCAGAAACTTAATGGTATATGTGATTTTTTCCTTTGAGAGAGACATTGTGACGTCAGTACATGTCAGAAAAATCTCTGACCCAAAAGCAAAAAGTCGTTTTGTTTCGTGGTAAGTTAAAGTAAGAATCCCTCCAAGCACTGCCTAGCCAAACCCAGCCTGCAGAATTATTTAACTGGAAGGGGCTTGAAATTAATCCTCCCTATCTTCAGTAAGGACCAAACCTAACTTTACTTGGAAATAACCATCTACGGCAATTCATAGGGGACACAGAGTTAGCATGGGGTGCAAAGTTAACTAAATTCATTGAGTAAAAGGTAGCTGTCAGGGTCATGCCTGTTTTTAAGTACGAGTTGATAAATCATTTTTGTACTGTAATTACAAAAGCAAACTCATTCACTGTCGCCAACTTGGCCATAGCCCTCCTCCAGACATGAGTCCCTCTTCCAGGAATCTTGCAACTGTCGTCCCTCTGCAGCTAGTTATTTTTTTTCTTTGCTTAAAGCTTAAAGTCTTCTGATCATCTATAAGAAAAGTGCAGAATCTCAGATGTGCTCCTTAAGTTCCTCAGTGGTACGGTCTTGAGTTCTCAGATGCATCCTCCATGATCTTGCCTGAGGTTCCCACCATGCAGGACTGTTTGCTGTAATCTTTCTCACCTTCAAGGGAAGGCTCTTGCAGCTTCCTTCCTGGCAGAATTGATATCCACTGCCTGGGTTCTGAAATTTGGTTGGGAGAAGAAGGCCTAGAGTCTCAACAATTCAGCACATAAACTTTCACTTAAACCCCTTCCCCCCATTTTCAGTACAGAGTGGTGCCCCTGCTTTCGACTCTCCATGCCTCTCTCCAGCCCAGAGGCCCCTGTGTTACCATCTCCAGAGAATACACATCGGGCTTCTGCCTGCGTTGGGAAAAGAGATTGCTCAGCTCGGGGGGGCTGGGGGTGAAGTCTGACGCCAGCTGCTGCTTAGGCTCATGGCTGACCTTTTACCATATCTTCTCCCCTATTTCCAAGGGCACCAGTGCTGCCAAGTCCTGAGCCTTTAGGGGCTTTGGGGCATAAATTTAATTGCTTTTTGGCTCTTCTCTTCTATTCAGTTTTCCTGGGTCTTCTGGCCCAATTACCACTCACCCATCTATTTTTCAGCTTCAAAAAGGTTGTTGCTATTGTCTTGTCTCCCATTCCCTTTATCCTGTATGCCTTCTTTAAATTCCTTTACACTTCAGGAAAGAGCAAAGCCTGATGCTTGGCCTTCAACCTGCCCTCTTCCTCCAGATGTCCTATGAGCTTTCATCTTAAAGTTCTCTGGGCAGGAGATCTCTGGCATATTTTGGCCACGCCTCACAGTGTGAACCACTCTCACTCCGTCTCTCTGGCTTGAAGTTTTTTGAAGGGAAGGAGCTGAGATTGAAGCAGGAGTACTTTGTGGTGGCTGCTACCTTGCAAGATGTCATCCGACGTTTCAAAGCCTCCAAGTTTGGCTCCACGGATAGTGCCAAAACTGTGTTCGATGCCTTTCCAGACCAGGCAAGTATTCTGTCTGCGAACACGGACAGAGACAATGAGGGATCAGGACTTCCTATCAGATTTACTCCCCTTTCTCAGTACTAAAAAAGTTGAGTAGGTGCGGTAGGCTTAAAGCGCCTCACCGAGGGTGGGCATTCTGTTTGGTGCTTTGTGCAGACGTACATGAGGGTAAGGAAGCCAGACTGCGGGCCATCCATCACCCGCACGCTGTCGTCTTTTCCCCGTACAGGTTGCCATCCAGCTGAATGACACACACCCCGCACTCGCCATCCCTGAGCTGATGAGGATTTTTGTGGATATTGAAAAACTGCCCTGGTCCAAGGTCTGGATAGTTTGGCTTCCTTTTCCTTTAATTAATAGTATATCTGTGGTTCAGAGATTTTGCCAAAAGCTCCTTTTACAGTTTTTCAAAATAAGTTACTGTTGCTCACTTCCAATGGTTAAAGGTGAAGTCTGCCTGGTGCTAACATTTCTCTGTCCTTACAGCTTTACAGGGAGGAAGACTAATAAGTAAATACATTCCTAATGGGACGCAGCTCAGTAGCTCAGACTTCCACTGTGATTGCCATTTTTGTGTTGAAAAGGATTCTAAATTAAATTCTCCAACCTCAGAACACAGCTAATTATGTGTCTCCACCAGTCTGCAAATCAGTATTTTAAACATACTGTGTACTTTTCTCAGAACATTACTTGTTTGTATTGCTCAGATTTTGCTTTTAATAAACGGCATGTTAGGATAGTAGAGAAGACTTATCAGTATGTTGTCTTCAGTTTTCTCAGACAGTTTTACAAATGGCTGCTTCCCCCCACCACCCCAGAAAAAAACCATATTCCCATTCTCTGGATGATTTGGACCCTGGTGGAATTGAGTGTGTCTAACTGTATCTGACTATTGCAGACCGGCAGGAGCCGAGGGAATGTTTGGTCTTGTGGGATTGGGTGTGCACCCGCAGGGCAGCCTTCTTGCAGAGGGAAGCAGCTAACTCCTCTCCCCTTCCCTCAGGCCTGGGAGATCACCCAGAAGACCTTTGCATACACCAACCACACGGTGCTCCCAGAGGCTCTGGAGCGCTGGTCCGTAGAGCTGGTGGAAAATTTGCTTCCTCGACATTTGCAAATCATTTATGAGATAAATCAGAAGCATTTAGATGTAAGTCATTTTGAGAGATTCCTACCCCTTTTGAGAATGAGGTCTTGAGATGTTAAGGGTGGCTGCAGTGTTCCCTCCCACCAAACTGGAGGCCCAGACATCTTCCAGTCATAGATACATCAAAAGTATTCAAGACTGGGTGGGGCTCTGTTAAAGACACTTTTTTGAAAACACTAAAATGGAGGATGGCATCTCCCCAGGGCGAACCCAGCCCCTCTGTGTGGCAGTGAAGTTCCATATTTGCTCCATTAGAGATTTTGCTGGGGAAGTGAATGACATTATCTTAACGCTTAAAACCTAAGTTGCCAGCAAGGCCTTTCTCTTCCCTTGGCTAGAGAATTGCGGCCTTGTTTCCTAAAGATGTCGACCGTCTGAGAAGAATGTCTCTGATTGAAGAGGAAGGAGGCAAAAGGATCAACATGGCCCATCTCTGCATTGTGGGCTCCCATGCTGTGAATGGCGTGGCTAAAATTCACTCTGACATTGTGAAGACCCAAGTGTGAGTCTCCATTCCTGTGGTGGTGGGTCCAACGTTGCTCTGTTAATGCACTGATGCTAGTAAATGCAGGCATGCATTTTGGGATAGAGAAAGGCCCTGTCAAAATGTGCAAAAGTATTTTCTTCTATACAAAGTAACCTTCTTTTCAAAAAGAAAATGCCTTCCTCTCTGAACCATCCTACTTCTAGATGTAGGAGCCAAAAAAAAAAAAAAAAACCTATTCTACTGAAAATCTGGTATATATGTCAGTGCCAGGAAATCATATGGAGGTGACTTGATTTGGAATTTTTCTTATAATTATGTTGAATTGCAAATGGATCTCGATTTAGAATGACAGCAGTAGCGCTGCCAGCCCCCCCCTCCCCCACCACCACCACCTTTAATCTCTCTAAGCCCACACTTGGCTTCTGGAATGTAACAGGATCCTGCTCTTTCAAATTCAGCGATGTGTCTCTTCCGACTCCAGATTCAAGGACTTCAGTGAGCTAGAACCAGACAAATTTCAGAATAAAACCAATGGGATCACTCCGAGGCGCTGGCTCTTACTCTGCAACCCAGGGCTGGCAGACTTAATAGCGGAGGTAAGGGGGAAGTCAGGGGAGGCCTGACTGCACGGCTAGAGGTGGACGAGTGCCCTTATAATCCGAGAATCCAGTCCAGCCCTCAGCGGGTGACGTGTGCTGTCCCACAAGGCTCCGTGCTTGATTGAATTCTCTGCTCTAGCCTGCTTGAAATTCTTAATTTTTTAAACAAGCGGTCCACAGATTCCATAGCTGGCTGCCAGTACTCCTGTGGCCCACAGTTGGAAGATGGTGGCCCTATTTAGTAAGGGAAGGTGATAAAAATAACTAGTAGAACCTGGGTTCTGTGTTACCCCTTGTAGGTAGGTCTCCTGTTTTTAACACTTACTGCCACTGAAACTACAGTTAAGATACCAGCAGAGGGTACTTCCCAGCCAGCATTTCCAGGCTCTTCTGTGAGGCGCGCTAGTCAGCTGTCCTGATGTAGGCACCCGCCACAGACTGACAGAAACTGCGCAGGTGGGCTGGATTGCCGTCCCTGACTAACATCACCTCTTCTTTAAACTGAAAGAAAATCGGGGAAGACTACGCGAAAGACTTGAGCCAGCTGAGGAAGCTGCAGGGCTTCCTGGACGATGACGTCTTCCTCCGAGAAATCGCCAACGTGAAGCAGGTGAGGCTTCCCGGTGTGGACTCCTTCGGCGGCACTAGTTCCGAGGGTTTATGAAGCTCCCCCCCGCCCCCCGCCATTTTTAAGAACAGACCAGCTGCTGATGCTTCTGAGTCAAAAGGGCTCCGGCACGGCGCACTGTCTCCACAGGAGAACAAGCTCAAGTTTTCCCAGTTCCTGGAGAAGGAGTACAAAGTGAAGATCAACCCCTCCTCCATGTTCGACGTGCACGTGAAGCGCATCCACGAGTACAAGCGGCAGCTCCTGAACTGCCTGCATGTGGTCACCATGTACAACCGTGAGTCACCGCGCGGCCGCCGCGCCCCCTGGAGGCGGGAGCCTCGCCACCCCAGCCCGCACCCGCCCTCCATTCCACCCACTCCTAAATCTTTTTCAGGCATTAAGAAGGACCCCAGGAAGTTATTCGTGCCCAGAACAGTCATAATCGGTGGCAAAGTAAGCTCATTCTATTCACTGGGGATGCGGGGGCCCAGAAATGGCAAGAGTGCCATCTCTCCACTTCATCACGGCTGCCTGCCGACCGTGTGTTTGCCATTCTTCCCCAAGGCTGCCCCAGGATATCACATGGCCAAAATGATCATAAAGCTCATCACCTCAGTGGCAGATGTGGTGAACAATGACCCTGTGGTTGGAAGCAAGTTGAAAGTCATCTTCTTGGAGAACTACAGAGTGTCTCTTGCTGAAAAAGGTAGTATCCTCATCCCAAATCATGCAGGGCCAGGGCAAATTCTCCAGAAAGGTTACATGGTAGGGAAAAATGAGGTAGCTAGGTTCTGGGGGTCAGTAACTTAGAATAGAAAGTGTCACTCTTGGGCAAAATTAGGGCCTAGGCTAAGAGTCTTGGAGATGATCCAGATGACGATGAGATTGCTGTCCCGGGAGTCAGTATCACCGATTACCTTTGCAAGTGCATTTTCCTGCCAGCTGGCTAGCCAGAGTTGGGTGCTGCAGGAGGTGGCCCTGAAGTTTGGGCAAAGTGCAGACCGGGCTCTACAAAGGAAAGGAAAAGAAAGGGTCTTCCATTCCCAGCTCCAGTTTTGCAACAGAACACCAATTCCCCAGGCCCCGATATTCCTCTGGTCACTTCGTGGAATGAAGAAGGGCTGTCATTTGTTCACGTGGCAACAGGGAATGAGGACAGATGTCAGGCTGCCAAGCATGAGGCTTAGATGTGCTTAGACTGATCACGCATGGAGTTCCCACGTGGGGACAGTTAGACTGGCAAAAAGCCAACATCCCTTTCTCTACTGCTCTCTTTGCTTATTTGCATCATGTGCTTACAAAGCACCGTCCACATGCAGATGCCAACTGTGCATTCACCCCAGTCCCAAATTGAAAACAGACCTTTCTCTTTTTGAGGTATTTTTGGGTCCTCTGATGTTACTCTTTAAGACTGTATGCAGAAAGAGAAGAGCCAGGTTCCTACCGATGCAAATGAAGAGATACCTAATCCACAAATAAGCCTTCAAAGTAAAACAGAGAATTGGTTCTGACCTTTGAAGTCAAAGAGGGAGAAGGAGTGGCAGCACTAATTTGTGTGTAAATTAGGCTGACAGGTCAGAGGCTTGGTGTCTAGCCCCAGGCACACCTCAGGTGCACCCGGTGCAATTCTCTGCCAAATAAGCGGGAGGGAGGGAGGAGGTGGAAAGTGGAAGGAATGCAGAGGATCCAACTTCCTCAGATTATAAAGGAAGAGTCAGGAGAGACTGAATTTTAAAGATCAAGAAAGAGAAGTTTCAATCTATTTTATAAAGTTATCAAGCAGAAGAAATAAAAACAAAACCATAACAAAAATTGGAAGGAAGAGCAGGAAGAAAAGAAATGTAGCGTCAGCTTTTATAGCAGAGCGTAACAGGTGCTCTCTGGAGTTTACAGACCAAGGAAGAGTAGTATGAGCATATACTTATTTAGCACTGTGGCCATCACCACCCAGATAGCACATCAAAAATGGACAAAAGCAGTTTGCCTGAGTCAAGGGGAAGAGTGAGATCCATCCTTCCATACCATATGAATGTTTACCTTGATGTACATGGACTACTTTAATGATCAGAACAGGCCCGCTAGATAAATACTCAGATACAATAGGAGATCTAGAGAGACGGAATCACTGATCTTAATGTACCTTGCTTGCAGTCATTCCAGCTACAGATCTGTCGGAGCAGATCTCCACTGCAGGCACTGAAGCCTCAGGGACAGGCAATATGAAATTCATGCTGAATGGGGCCCTGACCATCGGGACCATGGATGGAGCCAACGTGGAAATGGCAGAGGAAGCTGGGGAAGAGAACCTGTTCATCTTTGGCATGAGAGTAGATGATGTGGCCGCTTTGGACAAGAAAGGGTAAGGGAGCAGCTCCTCCTTATTGGGCAGGTGCTCCACCCCACCCCCAGAAGGGTGCCTGCCCACCCAGGTATCCCACTGAGTCGGGGTCATGTGAAATGCGGCCACACAACATCTCCCATGCGCCTGGGCAGCCTCCTCACAGCTTAGTTTTATTAAACCCAGCAAGTGAACGTGAAAGGGACTTGGGCACAGGTGCATGAGGTCCTTGCTATTTGTTATCCGCCGGTGTAGTTGGTTACATTAGTTTCAGGTGTACAATATAGTAATTCAACAATTCAGTACATCACCCGGTGCTCATCATGGCAAGTGCACTCCTTAATCCCCATCACCTGTTTAACCCATTCCCCCACCCTCAACCCATCTCCCCTCTGGTAACCGTTAAGTTTGTTCCCTGGAGTTAAGAGTCTATTTTTTTGGCTTTTCTCTTTTTTTCTTCATTTGTTTGTTTTGTTTCCTTAAGTTTTATATATAAGTGAAATCATATGGTATTTGTCTTTCTCTGACTCACTTATTTCACTTAGCATTATATTCTCTAGATCCATCCATGTTGCAAAGGGCAAGATTTCATTCTTTTTATGGCTGAGTAATATTCCATTATATGTGTATACCACTTCTTTATCCATTCAGCTATCAGCAGACATTTAGGCTGCTTCCATAATTTGGCTATTGTAAATAATGCTGCAATAAACATAGGGGTGTATGTGTCCCTTTGAGTTAGGGTTTTTGTATTCTTGGGTAAATACGCAGTGGTAGAATTATATGGTAGTTCTATTTTCAACTTTTTGAGGAACCTCCATACTGTTTTCCATAGTGTCTGCACCAGTTTGCATTCCCTCCAGCAGTGCACGAGGGTTCCTTTTCTCTGCATCCTTGCCAACACTTGTTGTTTCTTACATTTTTTATTTTAGCCATTCTGACAGGTGTGAGGTGATATCTCATTGTGGTTTTAATTTGCATTTCCCTGATGATGAGTGATGTTGAGCATCTTTTCATGTTTCTATCAGCCATCTGGATGTCTTCTTTGGAGAAATGTCTCTTCATGTCTTCTTCCCATATTTAATTGGATTATTTGTCTTTTGGTGTTGAGTTATATAGGTCTTTATATATTTTCAGTACTAACTTTCTCAGGTAAGTCATTTGCAGCTATCTTCTCCCATCCAGTAGGTTGTTTTTTAGTTTTGTTGATAGTTTCCTTTGCTTTGCAGAAGCTTTTTATTTTGATGTAGTCCCAAAAGTTTATTTTTGTTTTGTTGCCCTTGCCTCAGGAGACATAAACAGAAGAATGTTGCTATGGCACATGTCAGAGAAATGACTGCCTGTGCTCTCTTCTAGGACTTTTATGGTGTCAGGTTCACATTTAGGTCTTTAATCTATTTTGAGTTTATTTTTGTGTATGGTGTAAGAAAGTGGTCCAGTTTCATTCTTTTGCTTGTAGCTGACCAGTTTTCCCAGTACCATTTGTTGAAGAGATTTTTTTTCCCGTTGACTCTTCTTGCATCCTTTGTCTAAGATTAATTGACCAGATAATCGTGATCTATGTGTCCGTTTTTGTGCCAGTACCATACTGCTTTTGCTTACTGCAGCTATATAGTATATCTTGAAATGTGATACCTCCAGTTTTTTCTTCTTTTTCAAGATTGCTTTGGCTATTCAGAGTCGTTTCTGGTTTCACACAAATTTTAGGATTATTGTTCTAGTTCTGTGAAAAATGCTGTTGATATTTTGATAGGGATTGCATTAAATGTGTAGGTTGCTTTGGATAGTATGGACATTTTAACAGTATTTGTTCTTCAGATCCATGTACATGGAATGTCTTTCCATTTCGTGTCATCTTCAATTTCTTTAATCAGTGTTTTATAGTTTTTGGAGTACAGGTCTTTCACCTCCTTGGTTAAGTTTATTCCTAGGTATTTTATTATTTTTGGTGCAATTGTAAATGGAATTCTTAATTTCTTGTTCTGCTGCTTCATTATTAGTATAAAAATGCAAATTTATATATGTTTATTTTTGTATCCCATGATCTTACGAGATTTGTCAGTTCTAGTAGTTTTTTGGTGGAGTCTTTAGCGTTTTCTATATGTAGTATGATGTCATCTGGAAATAGTGAGTTTTACTTCTTCCTTACTGATTTGGATGACTTTTATTTTTGTAGTTGTTGTTGTCTGATTGCTGTGACTAGGACTTCCAGTACTATGTTGAATAAAAAGGGTGAGAGTGGACATTCTTATCTTGTTCCTGACCTTAGGGGAAGAGCTCTCAGTTTTTTACCATTGAGTATGATGTAAGCTATTAGTTTTTCATATATGGCTTCCATTATGTAGAGGCATGTTCCCTCTAAACCTACTTTTTTGAGTGTTTTTATCATGAATGGTTGGTGTACTTTGTCAAATGCTTTTTCTACATCTATTGAAGTGACCATCTGGTTCTTATCCTTTCTCTTGTTGATGTGATGTATCACATTGATTGATTTATGAATATTCAGCCACCCTTGCCTCCCAGGAATAAATCCCACTTGATTTCGTGAATGATTTTTTTTAATGTAGTGTTGGACTCGTTTTGCTAATATTTTGTTGAGGATTTTTGCATCTATGTTCATTAGAGATATTGGCCTGTAGTTCTCTTTTTTTTTTGTAGTGTCTTCATCTGGTTTTGGTATAGGGTAATGCTGGTCTCCTAGAATTAATTTGGAGGCTTTCCTTCCTCTTTTTTAAATGTTTGGCAGAATTCACCTGTGAAGGCATCTGGTCCTGAACTTTTGTTTGTTGGGAGTCTTTTGATTACTCATTGAATTTTATTACTGGTAATTGGTCTGTTCAAACTTTCTATTTCTTTCTGATTCAGTTTTAGGAGTTTATAGGTTTCTAGGAATTTATCCATTTCTTCTAGGTTGTCCGATTTGTTGCTATATAATTTTTCATAATATTCTCATAATCCTTTGTATTTCTGTGGTGTCTATTGTTACTTCTCTTCTTTCATTCATTTCTGATTTTGTTTGAGTCGTCTTTTTTTTTATGAGTCTGAATAAAGGTTTATCAATTTTGTTGATGTTTTCAAAGAACCAACTCCTGGTTTCATTGATCTGTTCTATTGGGGTTTTTTAGTTTCTATGTTGTTTATTTCTGCTCTAATCTTGATTATGTCCTTCCTTCTACAGGTTTTGGGTCTTGCTTGTGCTTCTTTTTCTAGCTTCTTTAGGTGTAAGGCTAGGTTGTTTATTTGAGATTTTTCTTGCTTCTTGAGATAGGCCTGTATTGCTTTAAACTTCCTTCTTAGAACAGCTTTTGCTGCACCCCAAAGATTTTGGACCACTCTGTTTTCATTTTCATTTGCCTCTATGTATTTTTTTATTTTCTCTTTGATTTCTTGGTTGACCCATTCATTGTTTAGTAGCATGTTATTTAACCTCCATGTATTGGTGCTCTTTCTAGATTTTTTTCTTGTGGTTGATTTCTAGTTTCAAAACATTGTGGTTGGAAAATATTCATGGTATGACTTTAATCTTTTTGAATTTATTGAGACTTATTTTGTGGCCTAACATGTGATCTAGAGAATGTTCCACGTGCACTTGAACAAAATGTGTATTCTGCTGTTTTAGGAGGGAATGTTCTGAATATATCTGTTAGATCCATCTGACCCAATGTTTCACACAAAGCCACTATTTCCTTGTTGATTTTCTGTGTGGATGATCTATCGATTGATCTAAGTGGGGGGTTATAGTCCCCTACTATTATTGGATTACTACTGATTACTTCCTTTGTTTGTTAATAGCTGCTTTATGTATTTGGGTGCTCCCATGTTGAGTGTATAAATATTTAGAATTGTTATATCTTCTCTGGATTGTTCCGTTGATTATATAGCCTCTTTGTCTCTTTTTACAGACTTTGTTTTAAAGTCCATTTTGTCCAATATCAGTACTGCCACCTGCCTTTCTTTTTACTTCCATTTGCATGATAAATGCTTTTCCATCTCTTGACTTTCTTTTTTTTTTTTTTTTTTTAAGATTTTATTTATTTCTTTGAAAAAGAGAGAGAACATGAGCAGGGGGGTGGGGGGTGGAGAGGGAGAAGCAGGCTCCCCCCTGAGCAGGGAGCTGGACATGGGGCTTGATCCCAGGACCCTGAGACCATGACCTGAGCCCAAGGCAAACACTTAAGTGACTGAACCACCCAGACACCCCTCCATTTCACTTGCAATCTGCATGTGTCTTTATGTCCAAAGTATGTCTCTTGTAGGTAGCATATAGATAAGTCTTACTTTTTTATCCATTCCATCACCCTATGTCTTTTGATTTGAACATTTAGTCCATTTACATTCAAAATAATTATTGATAGGTATGTACATATTGCCATTTTGCTGCTTGTTTTATGGTTGTTTTTATAGTTCTTCTCTGTTCCTTGTTCTCTTCTCTCATGGTTTGCTGGCTTTCTTTAGTGATACATTGGATTCCTTTTTCTTTATTTTTGCATATCTATTACTGGTTTTTGATTCGTGGTTATCATTAGGTTTGTATATAACATCTTAAGCATATAGCAGTCTCTATTAGGTTGATGGTCGCTTAAGTTTGAAACCATTCTTTACTCCACCCCCGACTCCACATTTTAGGCATATGGTATCATACTTTACATCCTTTCATTTTGTGGATCCCTTGACTGATTTTTTTTTTTTAAGATTTTATTTATTTGAGAGCGAGAGAGAGCATGAGCAGGGGAGAGGGGCAGAGGGAGAGGGAGAAGCAGGCTCCCCACTGAGCAGAGAGCCCGACACGGAGCTCAATCCTAGGACCCCAGGATCATGATCTGAGCCAAAGGCAGATGCTTAACCAACTGAGCCACACAGGTGGCCCCCCTTGACTGATTTTTATAGATATACTTATTTTCACTGCTTTTGCGCTTCCTACTTTTCTTACTCCTACTTATGATCTTTCCTTTCCACTTGAAGAATCCTTTTTAACATTTTTTTTAAGATTTTATTTATTTATTTATTTGAGAGAGAGAGAGAGAGAGAAACAGCATGAAAGGGGAGAGGGTCAGAGGGAGAAGCAGGCTCCCCGCTGAGCCGGGAGCCCGATGGGGGGCTCAGTCCCAGGACCCTGGGACCATGACCTGAGCTGAAGGCAGACGCTTAATGACTGAGCCACCCAGGCACCCCCTTTTTAACATTTCTTGTAGTCACGAATTTAGTGGTCACGAATTCCTTTAACTTTTGTTTGTCTGGAAAAACTCTCTCTCCTTCTATAATGAATAACAGAGTATTCTTGGCTGCATGTTTTTTCTTTCAGCACTTTGAATATATCATGCCACTCCCTTCTGGCCTGCAAAATCAGTGAAAAATCAGCTCACGGCCTTATGGGGTTTCCCTTGTATATAACTGTTTTCTTTTCTCTTGCTGCTTTTAAAATTCTCTCTTTATCACTACTTTTTGCCATTTTAATTACCGTGTGTCTTGCGGTGGACCTCCTTATATTGATTTTGTTGGGGGCTCTCTGTGAATCCTAGATCTGGATTTCTTTTTCCTTTACCAGATTTGGGAAGTTTTCAGCTATTATTTCTTCAAAAAAAATTTCTGCCTCCTTTTCTTACTCTTCTCCTTCTGGGATCCCTATAATATGAATGTTATTACACTTGGTGGTGTTGCTGAATTCGCTAAGTCTATTTTCATTTTTTATTACTATATTTTCTCTCTCCTGCTCAACACAATTACTTTACATTACTCCGTCCTCTAGGTAGCTAATCCTGTCTTCTGCTTCTTCTAGTCTATTATTTATTCTATCTAGTGTATTTTTAATTTCATTTATTAAGTTCTTCATCTCTGGTTCATTTTTATGTTTTCTCTCCATTTGTTAAGGATCTCATTGAAGTCCTGCACACTTTTCTCTTAATCACTCTTAAGACCATTACTGTAAAATCTCTATCAGGCATATTACTTATCTGCATTTTATTTAGGGCTCTTGCTGTGATTTTGTCCTGTCCTTTCATTTGGGACATTTCCTCTGTCCCTCATTTTGCCTAACTTTCTGTGTCTGTTTCTGTGTGTTGGGAAAGTCGGCTAAGTCTCCTGCTCTTGAAAGTAGTGGCCTCATGAAGAAGAGTCCGGTAGTGCCCTGCAGTGCAGTGTGCCCTGTTTATCAGAACCTCGTGCTTCAGGGCTGTCCTCTATGCATATTGCACACACCCTGCTATTGTAGCTGAGCCACTTTTTCCTTCAATCCAGTTGTCTGCAGTGGCTCTCTTTGCCTGTTGTAGGCACGGTTTGGTTCTTGTGTTGTTAGTGAGCCAGGCTGGGGCCACCTCGGGCTTGAGCAGAGTCGCATCAGGCACTGGCCAGAGCTGCAATGACACCAGAGTGGGACTCTGTCCTCCCCTGAGAAGCTTTCATGGGCGGGCAGTGCTTGGAGGCAGACCAGCTGTCTGCGCTCAGCCCACTGCTGGGGCTGCGGTCTGATTGTTGCGTGTGGTTGTCTTCTCCCCTCCCCGGGGCAGGAGTCACTCGGAGTGGGGCTGGCCCGTGTGGGGGCTGCTTGCACACAGCTAGGCTCGCGGCCCACTTTGGATGGGCTCCGGCCAAGAGCGCATTGTAGGGGGCAGGAGCACAGGAGAACTCGGGGGCAGGGTGGGCAGTGCCAGCGAGGTTTGCCCAGGTCGCTGTGGGAGGGGGCCTGGAGCAGAGGCCTGACTGGCAGGGCAGATCTGCAGAGGAGGCTGGGGGCGGGGCGCACTGTTAGCAAGTCAGGCCGCCAGTGCTGCCACAGCGCTGTTCGCACAGGGGTCCGGGTGGCTAGGCTGGGGGGCAGGGAAGGGAAACAGTGCCCAGCAGCTCCTTTGTTCCTGGAGAAGTCGCCTGAAGATCCCGATCCCTGTCCCTCTAGCATATGCTCTGAGTTAGTAAACAAATCTCCCTCCAGGGTACCCCAGGTGTTTTTCTATACTGTGTCTCGGGCTGCTGGCTGTGCTGTCCCTTTAAGGGCAGGGACTCGGCTTCCGGTAGCTGTCCCCGCTCTCCCAGAGCCAAGCCTGCTGATTTTTAAAGTCCCAGGTGGTAAGCCCCACTGATGGTAAAAACTCACAAAATTCAGCCCCTCTGGTTTTCACAGCCAAATGTTCTGGGGATTCATCTTCCCCATGTGGGCTCCCCAGTGTAAGAGTCTGTTTCTCTACCCTCTTCATGCCCACGGCATCCCTCCCTCCTGAGGACAGTCCCATGGGTCCATTTAACTCCCAAGCACGTCTCCGTTCTTCCCACCCTCTTTGATGTGACTTCTTCTCCACATTTAGCTATGGAAAGTTTATTCTGTCCGTCTTCAGGTTGTTGTCTCGGTTATTTACACCTCTGTGGGTGTTATCTAGCTGTATCTGTGGGACAAGGGGAGCTTAGGGTCCTCCTACTCTGCCATTTTCCCTGGAAGTCACCTGTCTAGTGTAATGTTAATCACACACACTAACAGAACCTTTTTCTTATCACCCCCACTCTCACCCCACAGGTATGAGGCAAAAGAATATTACGAGGCACTTCCAGAGCTGAAGCTGGCCATTGACCAAATTGACAATGGCTTCTTCTCTCCCAAGCAGCCCGACCTCTTCAAAGACTTAGTCAACATGCTATTTTATAACGACAGGTGAGTTCCCACAAGATGATCGTGCTATTTGGGCCATGAAAAGGGGACAAGAACATCTAAACCAACTACAACACATCTGTGTAATTAGCATAGATCTGTGATCTGAAAAGCTAACCTACACTTGAAAAATTAGATATTCTCTACTAACTATGCAGCAAGGTTTAAGAACAAGACCCACAGATCTGGGAGTCTTTTTCTCTTTCCACTGGTATACCCAGTTTTCAGATAACATCCATATGCTGACATTCTTACATGTGGGAAGAACCAATATAAAGGTTGAGAGCTGGTTAAAATTCTTGTGAATAGAAATGTAAGTTTGGTAAACCAGCCATGCCTGGTGTTATGCTAAAGAGAATTTGTCAAGGGGGTGGTACACCTGGGTGGCTCAGTCGGTTAAGCATCCAACTCTTGGTTTTGGTTCAGGTCATGGTCTCAGGGTCATGAAATCAAGCCTCACATCTGGCTCCCCGCTCAGCATAGAGCCTGCTTGTATTCTCTCCCTTTCCCTCTCCCTCCCCCTCTGCCCCTCCCCCTGCTCATGTGTGTGTGCTCTCTCTTTCTCTCTCTCTCTCTCCCCCAAATAAATAAATCTTTAAAAAAAAGCAAAAGATAATTTTAAGTGGAATCTTAGCACACATATTTTAATGAAGATTTTTCTTGTTTTGTTTTTCCCTTCCAATCACAAAAAAACAGGTTTAAAGTCTTTGCAGACTATGAAGCCTATGTCAAGTGTCAAGAAAAAGCCAGCCAGCTGTACATGGTGAGTACACTGCCAAGACCTATAAAAGAAACCAGTTTACTATGGTTAATTAAAATTTTTGTTTCTTTTTATTAAATCTAAATAACAGGGCCCCATTGATCAATCCAAAAAGAGAAATGAGGCAACTATCTAGGATATTCAGACCTTATCTTCTAATAGAAGCATATCCAGTCCCCCAAAAATGTATAGGCCAGAGTAAATTAAAGTTAATGGCCATTAGCAAGGAGGGGCAGTACTCAAATTAAGCTGAGTGGCTCACTACCTGCCTCCAAGAACTCAAAGTTCAAAGTTCAAAACTCAAAGACAAAAGAAAATGGTCAACTCTAGCTCTTTCCTCTTGATCTCCACTTGTATTTGTGTGTAGAATGGCTAAGAGGAAAAGAAATATAAATAGAGCAGGAAAGGAAAATATGACAAGGGCAAGGACAGATGTGAATGCCAGTTTTGCACAATGGGTCTCTTTTGCTAACGTTATGGCCCAAATCCAAAGATGCCCGTCTCAAAGCCCAGCATTTGGTTCAATCTTTCTTGTTCATTAGTGCTAATTGCAGTTTTTACTCATAACAATTATCATATTTTTGGGCTTAGAAGCATGTTGGGAAGTCTATTCATTATCCATTTAAATAGTTAAAGAAAGTGAAGAAAAGGAAGCTTTTATTTTCCTCTTATTTAGCAAGTTTTCAACGTCCGAATAAACAAATTTTAGACTCTCTGTTGCAGTACCTTATGGAATAATCATAGTTTTGGCTTTTCTTTTAAGTGTTTATAATGCATTGCTGATGGCTTTGAGTAATGTTCTGGTCTTTTTCTTTTTTTTAAGATTTATTTAATTTTTTGAGTGAGAGAGAGCAGGGGCGGGGGGGTGGGGCAGAGGGAGAGGGGGAAGAGAAACTGAAGCAGACTCCAAGGAGCTGAGCGCAGAGCCAGATGCAGGGCTCGATCTCCCAACCCTGAGATCATGACTGAGCCAAAACCAAGAGTCAGACACTTAACCGACTATGCCATCCAGGTTCTCGTGTTCTGGTCATTTTTAATGAACTTTTAGAGTTCTTTATAAAATCATGAGGGTATAAAATAAATAACTTCTTACATTATTTTACATAAAAATTATAAAATTTGTATAGAATATATTTTATTAAGGATAAGGCCTTACTTGATCCTGTTTTGAAACCCCAATAGAGTATTTGGGATTCAGTGTAAATCAACTGGGGCATCTACCTTCAGAAAGAACAAGAAAGGAGAAGTAGGTCAATAAATTGTCCCGTTACATTGTTGCCCTGCACAGCAGCTAACATTCTAGAGTAGCGTTTTTCAAACTATGATCTAAGCCACAGGCTAAATCTCTTGACACAGCATCTAGCAGACAATGAACGTTAGTCCCTTCCTTCCCCTCTAATTTAAAGGGGTGTGAAATAAAAAATAAAGCATGGGAAATATGGCTTGCATGCCAAAATATTGTAACCATAGCAACAATGACCAATTAGGGAATTTACATCCATGGTTTCTCTTAAAATGAAAAATACTTTTTTTTTTCGTTCTTAAGAGAAATATACTCAAAACAGGAGAAAAGCATGATCTGCCCTATCCAGCTCTCAGCTGTGAAACAAATGTATTTGATTCACTACAACTTACTCCTGTCATTTTTCCCCTTCAAATGTGCTTGGATATGCTTGGCCTAGCATTTGTCATAAAGTTCGATGGGCACTCAGGCCATGGGCCATATATATGTGTGTTCTTTACAGAATCCAAAGGCCTGGAACACAATGGTACTCAAAAATATAGCTGCTGCAGGGAAATTCTCTAGTGACCGAACAATTAAGGAATATGCCAGGGACATCTGGAACATGGAGCCTTCAGATCTCAAGATTTCCCTATCCAATGAATCTAGCAATGGGGTGAACAAAGTCAATGGAAAGTAAGTTGTAAAATGTCTCTAGAAAAAAAAATAACTTCTTACTGGATTTAAAAACTTTCACAACATTCTTTGATTTTGTTTTGTTTTGTTAGCTAATAATCTAGTTAAGAATTTCTGGGAATTAGGAGGGAAAGTGTATGACTGTATTAGGGCTAAAAATAAAGTGCCAGTTTACAAGGGCTACATGAGTGCCAAAACTTGTTATTTGATGGCAGATTGAGTAGCATGCTAGGACTTTCTCCAGGGCTATTCAAAAAGCTAGAAAATACTGGGAACTTTTTAATGCCATTTAAATTAACTAAACTAAAACACAAATTACTTAACTACATTAGAGTACCTTTCTTATACTGTTAAGTCCCAACCAAAGACCACCTTATTCACAGATATCCCCAGCATGTTTGGTAACTACACATTTTTAGATGGGATCCAAATTTTACCAAATTCTGATACTCTACAATGAGGTTTCAGTTTGTTCCACAAAGTAGACTATGACAAGCTAAATGACAACTTTCAATAATGCCCAACATCCCTGCTTTCCCTTACTAAAATGGCAAGTGAATTGTAGAAATGTCAGTGACTTCAGCTCATCCCAGCAGCCCAGTACGATTTTACATGAAAAATATGCATCATGGGTGGTGTCTGGACCAAGTCTTCACTGCAGATTTCTGTTACTCTCAGACCTCATGCCCACTGCTCGCTCAGGAAATCTCTGCAAAAAAAGGACCTAGGTCAGCTCACATGCTTTTTCCACTTCCTAGTCTAAGTAAGCCAGAGCAGCCCTAACTGCCTTTAAGAGAAGGATAATCACATTTAGCAAAGCAACTCTTACCTCACAGTGTTTATTAGTGTAGGGCTTCTACAGAGGAAGTTGTGTTGGAAACCAGGGGGAAAGGTCACCATCTTGACCCTCTCTTTGTTCCTATACGCATTGTGTGCAATTTCATAGAGCTGTGCGGGACAGAAAGACCGAGACTCAAAGGCTGACCATCAAAGGTGGTGTTTTTCTAGTTTAATTTTCCTAAACAGTACAGAAACAGTCAACTTGGGGAGTGAGTCCCATTAAGTCAGAGATAAGGGACTCCCTACCACCCATTCCCAACCCCCCCGGTGTTGGCTGTCTCTACAACTAAGGAACTAAAAACTGCACAGCTAACACAGAACGCTGACAGAACCTCATCCTTCTCCTGCCAACACCCTCCCTGCAAGGGGACAGGAACTGCGATGGACCCACTGTATTTGTCTAAAAGAAAAGAAACTGCATCCCATTTTTGGAGCCACTCTGGGAGAGACTACATGGAGATTCCCCCAGCAGCCTGGGATCTTCTCTATACTTGCAGATCCACACGTACACTTGCTGACGAGGAACCAGGATCCACCACAAACACTCGTTCAGGCTACACAGCATAGTACACTGATGCATACTGTGTACACCAGGCAGCATGGCTATTTGGGGACGTAGAGAACCCTTATAACGTCAGAGACCCTCCTGTAGGCTCTAATCTCAAAGTCTGGCTAGACGAGAAAATGGTGATGGAAGTATGGTATGTTTCAGTCAGCACTGAGCTCTTAGTTTACCTTTTTTCCAAACTCCAAAGGCACCGTGCTGTCGTCCTCACCGTGTATGATGAGAAGGGCAGAAGACAGGAATTTAACACTAGGGACAAGTGGAAGAAAAGCATTCAGTTCAAAAATTATATGTTGGGATTTCTCTTCTTCTAAGTTAAAGCTTTAGCAAAACATGAGATTTGCCTCAAAATACAAGATCTCTCTTCCCTTCCTTCCCAGGAATGACAACTTCATATGTAATAAACTTCATATAGTCACTGTTTTCCCTTCCAGGCAAGATTCTCTCTCTTCTATTTACTCACACAATTTAATTAGGTATTTAATTAATTTATCTCTGTGTGATTTTTTTTAAATAATTAAGAAAAAATACTGAATTTGTACAGTTAAAAGAACCTTATCTTTTCCCTTATTCTACCTTATTTCATAATATCTGGGATATTTTAACTAAAAGACTATATAAAAGAAACAAAACAACTCAAAATTCAAAAATAACAAGAACTACCACAGGACTAAAGAGAACTCTTTGTAGCAATTTATTTACTTTTCCCCATAAATGTATAGATGGACACACGATTAAGAGGTTTAATCAGCTTCCCGGTCAACCTCCTAGCTTGGTAATTCAGAGAGGCTACAGCATGAAGAAGACTTGTTCCTTATTCTAATAACTTTCTCAAACAATACTTCCTAAATTCTGATACCCATCCACCCCGTCACAATGACTCACTGTTGCTCCTGAGAAGGTTAGATCCCTCAAGTGTGTCGACATTAAGTACTGATAACATCCGCCCATTGGAGGAACTCTTAAATTCTCCAGCTGCGAGAGGCTAACTTGCCAAATTCTGATCATTGGACTTGCTGTTGGGTCAATAGGCTGAATGGTGGGTGGGTTTTGGTTACATGGGGAATAAGGCCTAGAAGTCAGGGATCCCCAAGGAACATTAGGCTAGACCTTCTCAGAGCACCTTTAAAAGATCCTGTAAACCCTAAGTCTACAACTCCCTTTATGACTTCAGAGAAAGTATTGAATTAGTGAAGTTTTCAAATTAGACATGAGGAAAATATCAAACAATAAAAATTTGTGGACACATTACCTCAAAGTTTGGTACCCATCTAAGAATTCTCATCTACCCGTTCAGTATGTCACATGATAGTTACCCTCCAGAATGGCATAGATAAATAATGGACATCTTTTCATCATTAGCTTACTTTTCATCATTAGGGAAGACTATTTTGTCTTTTCTCAGGGCATCCATAAGTGCACGTAAAAATGCTGGAAGTTTCCGGTAAATCTATTTTTTAAAAAAGAAAAAAAAAATTAAAACATGGCCTATATCTATGTCATTTGTTATGTTTTCCTACATGAACTATACTAATGTAGAGAGTAGCAACTTTCTACATATAATAAACTTTTTTAAGAACAAATCTCATGATTTTAAAAGTAAGTCATGTCATTGTAGGGAAATTGGAAAATACAAAAAGGAAGAAAGAAAAGGTGGTATATATATACAATGGAATATTACTCAGCCATACACACACACACACACACACACACACCACCTCTTCTTCGTTCATTCATCAGTTGATGGACATTTGGGCTCTTTCCATATTTTGGCATCAAATTTTTGACTAATCAGAATATTCTGTTCAGTGACTAGACCAGTTAATTATGTTCACTGTAGAAGCAATTTTTAGATTATGCATATCACTGCTCCTTTACACAAGTGTGAAGAAAAAGAGTTAGTGGTGCTATTTGTATTTTAAAGAAAGATAGGAAGCAAAAACAACAAAATGTTAACAGTGATTATCTCTGGGTGGTGGGGATTATGTGTGATTTGTTTCTTCTTTCATCCTTTTTGCACCACCTTGGCCTTTGAGGCCCCACAGAATCTGGCTGTTGCCTGTCTGTCCTCTCACTGAGCCCAGCCCTGTCCACCCTGCTGCCTTCTCCTGGAACACATCAGGCTCAAACCTACTTCGGAGCCCTCGCCTTTCTTTTCCCTCAGCTCAAGACCTCCAGATTTTCCCATGACAGCTTCTTGTCATGCAAGTCTCAGCTCAGATGATAGCTCTTCAAGGAAGCTTTCCCTACCGACCCCCGCAACACCCGACAGTCACTCCCTATCTCACACAGCACTTCTCCTGAAAATCAGCTTATTGTGTACTCATCTCCTGCCTGTCTTCCCAGGAAGTATATACACTTCACAGGAAGTCAGGCCACAACTTTTTTATTCCCTGTAGTATTCCTGGAACCTAGGAAAGTTCCCAGTACCTAACAGACACTTGAATAAAGACTTAACTAAAGATGGAATGGATCTCCTGTGCAAATATCCCTGACATACACTATTAGCTATTATCTGTCATGTTCATCTTAGTGTGACTTAAATTTCATTCGGATTTTATTCCTTGGAATAGATTTGCTAAGAGAAAAGACCAGAAAAGTATTATATGTATTCCTCCGTTGTGCCTGAGAGGGGAGTGGGGAGGAAAGTGCTACATAATAAATGGGACATTGCCAAAGGAAGGAATTGGGTACAGCACAGGTAGGCTGGGGCCAGTTTAGAAAGAAAAGAATTCTATTCGTTGTAGAAGCAGTTTTTAGGTTATACGTATCACTGCCCCTTTATGATATGGAGAAATTAGAGTCAGCTGCTACAATACATCATTTGTTGTAGTCTTCCACTATGAACTGTAGTAATACAGAGAATAGTATCTTTCTAAATAGAATGAACTTAAAAATTTGTTTTCCTGCTTTCAAAAAGTAGTTCATGTCACTGTAGGGAAATTAGCACAGAATAGGGAGGCTGGGTCCAGGAAAGACAAATGTCCGCTTCACAATTTTGGCATAGGCCTACTGTTTCCAGGATGCTTTCACGTTTTCATGGGAGTTTGTCTGGCTTGCATTTTTTGCATGGTCTCATGGCAGATGATTTGCATTCAGGTGCAGTCTGGAGATCCTAATACTGCCTCTCCTGCCCCTTTTCCTTTTTCCTTCTCTTACCCATAACTAAGGGCAAGATTCCTTGTTTTGTTTTCTTTTGTCTTTGTCTCCTGATTCTGCCACCCCTGGAATCAGGGCTCCTCTGAAGAAAATTCAATAAGAGAAGCCCTTCAGCAATTCATCTCAAATTCCAAAGGAGTAAGAAGAAAGCAGGCCCAAGTCAATCTACCCCCATTATTCCTCATCAGCCAGAGGTGCCCCTTGAGACTCAGAGGTCATACCATCCCCTCCAGCCCAGACCACAGCGATGGGCTCCTAATTGGTCTTCCTGCCTCCTCTCTTCTGGAATGCCATCAAATAAGTATTCCTTAAAGACTAGTTATGTGAAATGTACCGTCACAAACCTTCCGTAGTACCACACAAGCTACTTAAAAACAAAGTAAGAAACTCCCATCCTGGCTGCAAGCCCATCCACATCTGGCCACAGTCTTTCATT